TGAATAAAACAGCTATTCTCAATGAGGAAGTGGATGGCATTACCCTCGGCTGCCTGTTTAGTGGAGGAAGGGACTTAAACGACAAGCAAGATGGAATGTGAGTACCTCCCTGGATATGTAGTCAAGCTAAAGTGGCACTGCTCAGAAAAGTTTGGTTACTAATCCCAACAAGTGTTGGGATAATGTTGCTGGTAATGGTGTTGTGGTTCTTTTTTGGGGGTTTTTTTGTTTTGTTTTGTTTTGGTTGTTTGTTTTTCCATAATTTGTGCATCTGCAAATATAAACCTTCTGATGAAAGAAACTATACCCTGGTGGGGATTGCTAATTTCTTGTTTTTGATTTATGTATGTTTTGTTTTGTTTTGCTTTACTTTTGTTTCATATGTTGTTTGTTTTAATTTAAGAAAATTTATGAATGAGAGGTAAAACTTGAGGGGGTAGGGACAAATAAGTAAATACTTCTACCTACTCCTTTTCAAACAAATAATGGAATAATATATTGTAATGATTGTGAAGGCTCATGTTTGAAATGTTTGAAATAAAAATGAACTGAACTGAACTGAACTGAAGTATGACCAAAAGTGAAAGTTCAAAGAAACTGACAGGGTTTAGAGAGTCTGTGAAAAATCCTGGTATTACTCTTGAACCCTGCAAAAAGTTTGTAGCATAGACTGAAGAAATACTGTTATATAACTCTTTTTTTTTTTTTTTGCTCCAACTTGTAAGTAAAACTGCATCAAATCAATAATTTATTTTCTTTTTTAGAAGTAACATTTTGACAGCTGTACATCGCTACAGACATGGCACTGAGTTAACTTTTGTAGGAACTATCTGGCACATTTTTGGCTTTCTGTGGATCTGATGCAAAAGTGGAATATGTGTGTTCTTTTATCTTTTGAGGCAGAATTATACACAGTGATTTTGAGAGTTTTATTGCTCTACCAACCCTAGAAAATGTATTTATATTATTCTGTATTTAGCTCTAATCTTCCAGTTTTTTAAAACTCAATTATAATATTAATTATTTGTTATCATAGAAAACATGTTGTCTCAGTTAGGAATGAGGTCACTGACCTGTCTGGTAACAGCTTATGTAGGGAGAAAACAGCTGAAGCTCATTTGCTAAATGAGGGCATGGACTTAAAAGTGGCACCACAGTGCATCAGCCAAGACTAACAGCTACTGATCGACGCAACTGAATGTGTGTTTTTGTTCTAATTTGCCATTAAAATGGAGTCTTGTGTTGCTGTCTGAAATGAAGTTGAGATTAGCATTGAGTGTCTAACTTCAGATAGACATTTATTTTAATATAATAGTGTTATTTAACTGTTACATAGCTGTGTGTGTTCCCATCATGAGTCCTGATAAAGTTAGTAAGGAAAGTCTCCACAGAGCTAATGAGAGATGGCCACAGTGACTAGACATGTGATGAGGAAAATACAGACTTCATGTGACCCATGGCTAAGGAGCGGCTCATAGAAGAAGACAAACACCCATTTGTGTTGTTTTCTTCAGTCAGTACTAAACCACTGAGGAGAATCCACCAGTCAGGCAAGTATGACATCTTTCATATTTGAAAATATTTATAAAAGAAGTCATAGCATTTATCTTGTTTTTTAATTTTACACTGTTTCATTTTGCCTAAACGGAATGTTGTAAGTTGAAACCTTGTTCTAATTTTTTTATCTTTTATGGTTAGAAAAGTGATCTTTATAATTGGTGCTAGAAGGATAAATGTTAAATTTACTACACATAGAGGTTAATCAGTCTTCAGGCATGTGTCGATACAAGCTAATGAACAAACAAGAAGAATCCATTTGGAAATAAAAATGTGGACACAATAACTTGCTTGTAACTGCACAGGCAATATTTGTCACCAGTCAATCATAAGCTTGTAAGTTGTGGACAAACCACCATATACCTACACTTTGACTTAATCCATAATAAGTGTCTGATTTTTTTTTAAATGTATTTTCTTGATCGGTAGATGTGGGTTTTTTTTTTTAGCCATACACTGCCAAAAAGTGACCAAAAAAATCCAACACCAATGCATTCAGTTAAACAGTAAATATTTGGATTTGAGAAACCTACAATCATAATCTTTTCACCAGATATTCTCCAACATGTTTTAGATAATTTCCCGTAACTCGGCAGCCACATTAAACTGACTCTTTGATTAACTACTTCCACTGCCATGCGCAGTATGACATGAGTATTTAGCTGTTTGTTATACAGTATATCTGTGTGTTGGGGAAATTGGAGATCTCGAATGACCTGTCTGATCTACAATACTGTGCAAAAGTCTTGAGAGCCCACATTTCTCTATGTTTTGCTAAGAAGATGATAAATTCATGCAGCAATTAAAAGTAGATAAGTCAAAAACCAGAGACTGTACAATTCTAACAAGCTTGAAAATAAATATTTGGTATGATTTTTATTCTTCAATGAAGTCTGAGGTTTCTTGGGCAAGCCTTCTTTTAATTGATCCAAGTTAGGTGTGTTTGAATGATTGATAAGTTGTTGTAAAGTGGCTTAACAGAGTAAAAACACATTCATCTTAAAATGGTCAGGTAAAATTACTGGACTGAAAACAAGTGAAAAAGCAACCAATACCCTATGAAAAACTTTGAAAGACCTCCAGAAAGCCTTAAGAACTGTTGCTCAAGAACACTTTGAAAAATTCTAAGAGAATCTGGTTCATTGAAAGCAAAATCAAAAGAAATGAGTTGTGGTTCAAGACTTTTGCACAGTATTGTAGCTGTATGTCCATGACAGTTCTCAGTCATCCAGATCATGGTAATCTAAGGAGCCTGGAAAGAAAAAAAGACTAGGCTTCTTTACGTTTCTTGAAGATGACAAATCTGGGACTCCACTGATTGGTCTTAGAACTGAAGAAGCTCCTCGGACAAGAGGTGAAACATCTTCAAGAAACTTAACAAATTCTAGTTGCAAAATCAACAAAATCATGTTGAGGTTCAGGATCTAGGGAGGTCAGTCCATGACTAGTAATAGTCCACTGTTTTTTTTGGGGTCTTTTTTTTAATGTTTACTTGTTTTGTTGTTGTTTTTAAATCTAGACAGGCCTTTACTGCATTGGTGGTGTGTTTGGCATAATTTTCATGCTGAAAAATTAAGCTGTTGCCAATCAGGCATTATGACTCATCTCAGAGCATATTGCCTCCCTTTTGCTATTTTTAAGCTAAGCGTAAATATACAGTAAATCAGTGTGAACTTGTTCTTCTCCCTTTACTTCAGCCTTTGTAGACAGGCGTTCTCTTGGATGAAACCAAAGCGAGCAGGATGCAAACCATAAAGACGGTGGAGACCCAAGTCCCCTTTCTAAAAGAGAGTTTCTTCACTACCACGTTCAAAGGCCGACGGAAGAGCAGTGTTACCAATATCCTCCGTAAACAGCAGCACTCTCTTCTTAATCAACAGCAGTGCATTTTAGAGCATCAGCCACACAGTCCTAAGCTCTTTCATTCTCCTCCAGTTGAAAATGGACCGGGGCAGCAAACCCCCCAGCATCAGCGACTTGCTCGCTCAACCAGCAGCCCGTTATGCAAGGCAGCTGAGAATGCAGAAGCAGATGGGGATAGAAAGGAGGAGCAAAAAGAGAGAAAGGCTCAGAATGTGAGAGAGGCTGAGCTGGAAAGGGGGGGAGAGGGAGCAGTGAGTGGTAGTGAGCCCGTGGCTGTCACTGCCAGTCTCCTCCTCCTTTCATCATCAGCCTCAGCAGTGCTGGGGGAGCCAACATCATCCTCACAGCTGCCGTTAACTGTGGTGGGCAGACAGCAGGGATTAGCTGGCTCTGAAAGGGCTCTGACCAACAGAGGACCGGCTGCAGCAGTAGCTCACGAGGAAGCCGAGCATGCCCAATCTCGACCCCAGCATCATGGCCTATTAGCCAAAGGTGTTCGTCTACTCAGGAACATGGGGAACCAGGAAGCAAAGCAGAAGAAAGGAGGAGCCAATGGTGGACCAACAGGGGATGTTTCTTGTGATGGTGAGGCAGAGGAACGAGAAGTGGACAAAAAATCCAAAAAGTCCTACAATAAAACAAATAAAGGAGCAGGAGAACATGGTGGTAAGAAGAAATCAAAGTCTGAGTCAAAGGGTTCTGTGTTTTCTGGAATGAAGATCAGGAAGAGTTTATCCAAGGTGAAAGGGTTGTCTAAGGATGATATGTTGGAAGATGGGAGATCAGCACATGTTGGCAAAACAGGGGTCGAGTCTGGTGCAGAGAAAAGCCTGTCAGCTGATGAGATGGGCATGCTGTCAGATGTCGAGGGGGATCTAACCCATTTAACTGCAGACAGCCACCAATCTATGGGCGATGAGACTGGCCGGAAGACAAGTTCAGGGTCAGATGCTGAACTCTACAGTTTTCACTCAGCGACTGAAAGTGAAGACCTGCTCTCTGATATCCAGCAGGCCATGAGAGACCAAGGTGTTGCCAGTGAAATTGTTACCAGACACTTATCTGAAGTGTCTGGTAACAATATGTCGACTTTGGAGGGGAGCAAAGTTCCTGAGACTGGAATATCTCACCAACTATTTAATCTGGATGAAGACTGTTTCTCCCCACCTCTTGTACCTCAAGAACTGAATGATAAGTATAAGAGACTGGAGAAGGAAAGGAGTGACATATCTATATCAAGAATTTCATCTGGTCCAGGGTCTCTGAGTGAGAGTGGTCCTTCATCTTCTGCTCCAGACACAGAGAGAAGCAGTGGCAGCCTTTTTCCAAAAACTAACAGCACTTATAGCTTTCAAGACACTACAGCCACCACCACCTCATATGAAAGTGCTGAGGAGCCCCAGGATGAACTGGAGAGCCTGTTTTTGACTCCACATCAGGGTCAAGGTAGTCAGGCTGTGCTTGACACATCATGTGACCATTTAGATTCCATAATGGTAGGGACAGGGCCAACTGGTACTCAAAAAAGTGCAAGCAGCATGGACCTGTCTGTTGAGAGGGAGGATGAAGAAAGTGGTGGGCGGGACTTTCTGTCTCTGGAAAGGAGAAAAAATAGTCTGTCTATTAGCCACCTGATAATAGACAGTCCCCCTGTTTTTCAGCCTAGACGAAGATCATCCAACTCCCCCTCCACTGTCAAATTCTACCCACCAGTCCACCCTTCCTATATTAAGACCACCACCAGGCAGCTCACCTCTCCAGTTGGCTCCCCCATTACCAGCCCCAACGTGCCTCGGAAAACAGATCCCATCAGTGGATCACTGGAATCCAACAAGGTCCAAGGGTTTAGGAGACGCAAGCAGAGGTCCTGCTCCATAGCTGGGCCGCACAGTGTGTCTGCAGACTGGTCCGCTGAGGTTAATGAGCTTAGTGGAAGACATGATGATGGGGCCAAATTTCCAGATCAGGAGACCACAGAGAAGAGTTACACAGGTGGGACTTACTGGACGCTGGGGTCTAGGAGAGCACACTATGGAAAGCAGACGTCTGCTGCTCCAGTACCCTACCTGGATGTCTTCTCTGGTGAGTGATATATTAACCTCCTAGGACCTGGCGTCCACATATGTGGACATCACATTTTGGATTATTTAGACTAAAATACTAAATTTTGCTCTACAAGGGCCTGATATCCACTTACGAGGACATGATACTGACACTGTTCTATCAAAATTTTAAACGAATATCCTCATATGTGGCTCTCAGTTTTATTAGAAACAAAAATAAAGTAAAAATAAAAAAAATCAGGTAATTCTTTGTTTTTACATTTATTGGGTCCCAATGTGACCAAATATCAAAGAGAAATTAAAAATTCATGCTGTGAAAGAGTTTGGGTCTTAGGAGGTTAAACAACTGAATTGAGCAATCAAAACAGGTTTCAAAAAACCCAAAAAGAAGGTAAAGAGAGAATAATAACCTTCCTCCCAAAACATTGGTGCCAGTTTAGTGTAGCTGTCTTCTCTTTTAAATGCCCCATAATCTATTAGCCTCACAGCACTCATTCTGAATGGCATTTCTCTGAGAGACCTGTGTGAAAGTGAGCTACAAGACAATTTGTCCCTACTGAAGATATTTTGATTAACGTCAGTTTTTTTTTTGTTTGCATCTACAATCGAAATCAATGCCACAAAGGGATGAACTACATGTTTTGCAATACAAAGAAAAAGTAGAGAAAAACACAGAATATCAATAGCTTGACTTTTTAATTATATTTGTTTTGTGATTATTCTGCTATCACATTGGCACCAAAGTATCAGGAAGACAATAATGAAGCATTTCATTTAAATATTTTAGTTATTTCACAATTTATTCCTACTGAAGAAGTATTAATGGATTGGATGTCACTCCTATTTGTTTGGCTCCTACCCTATTGGAGATTAGGCCATTACACAACCAATTATAGTAATTGCCTAGTAAGTTTAATTACTTACAAATTGCACTTTAAGTAAATACACTAGAAATACTAAGGTTATTATTTTAAAATACAGTACTTAATGAAAACCATAATAAAACCATGGGGTGTCTTTGAGATGCGTTGTCTCACTCTAATAAAACAATGCCACTCTGTCCTCCTTACTATTGTGGAGCCTTTCAAGAGCTCAGCTGTTGTCTCCTGTCTTTGCCTGTGCTCAATAAATCAGAGGACCGAATGACAATGCTGCCACCCACCCACGGCTATGTCATCCTCTGATTCCACTGGCTTAGATAAGAAGCACACACATACACAAACACAGTGGATGTTAAACTCATGTGACAGTTTTTCTGCCAGACAAAAATAAGTCATGGTGTTAAATCAATTTCTGTTTGCGTCAGGTGAACTCGCTCCAAACAACAGAGGTACATAATGATCTGAATCCATATAAAATGAACATTTTTGTGCCTGTGTGGCACTTCGTATTTGTGAGACGTATTTTGTCCCGTTTATGCTCACAAAGACTCAGTCTCTAACTAGTTTACCATTGCATGTGATACCAATCAGTGCAGCGAGGTTTACAGGTCACATGTACCCTTAAGAAGGAGTGGAAGGAATGAGAACAAAGATGGGAAACCATAGAAAACTCCAGCTTAATGTTTGAACAAGTGACGACAAATAATTGATTTGACACTGTCCCCTGTATCACATGGTTAAAAGAAATCATCCTGTTTTAGAATTGGTCTTCCTGCTGTAGCTGTGTGTTGTTTTGGACTCAACAGTCCTCTGCAGTCACATTGTTCATATCCCCCACCACCCTTCAAACTCCATATAATTCCTGACATTAATTTCATTTTCAAGAAAATATGTCATTCCTTGTGAAGTATAGAGATTTTGATACATTACTACATTTCTCACAGGTCAAACTTACTTTACAAACCTGCGGACAGCCTACCTTATTTTCTGTATTTTATTCAAGAAGTAGAATTTATTCATTCTGTAACCATGCTATCGGCTTTAGCCCACCTTTTAGTTTTTTTCAAGCTATTCCAAAACTTTTCTTTTTCTGCCATTTGATAGTTCTTTGCACTTCACAATCAGCACCACCTCTCTTTTCACCCACGTGTAAATGGTGTGAATAGAGTTTACAAGTGTAGGTGTTTAATTATCACATCCTAAAATGAAAAATGTCTTTTACATTCTTTGGTCAGACTGACATGAGGCGTCTAACTACACACTTTTTCTCAACTTACCAAATATATATCTAAAAATAAATTTTAAAAATGTGTCTGTTCAAATTCATCTGAGTATCCTCCTCTAGTCTTGAAAATGGAGCTCTGTATCCCTCTGTTTTGTTCTTGCAGTGTCTGTCTTTTCTTTTCTCAGGTCACGCTCTTTTGGACAGGCTGTGTATGCATCAAGGAGATGGGTCCTCCGAAGAGGATGTGAAAGAACTATGTCAACGAATGCTTGTCCAGGGTCTCCTGCACCCCTTCAGCAACGGGCGTGCAGAGCTCCTTGGTGACAGTACTGTGTCACCAGTTTTTAATGTAAGACCTTTCTCTTCACTTTCATTTAGCACTTATTCTAAAAACTGACCACATATTCAGGGGTAGGTTCATTTTTAAACAAATATATAGTTTAGCTTTAAAACACTTTAAAATGCTCGATCCACATTACAATAGCTTTAAAATAATTAGATGTAGGGTTTTTGTGGGGATGGAAATAACCCTTAAAGCTGGGCAGCTGTGTTTCATATTTCTAACTTTTCTACTTTCATAACAAACCACTGTCTAAAGATAGTATAACATGGGCCGGGATGCATATAAAAAGCATGTGTTAATGAGATAAATCACTAAGTAACTCTTATGTGCAGTAGAGAGAATGAATGCAGAGTGTGTGTTTCTGTATTTATTGTTTGACTATGATTCATCTGAGACATTTCATTACCTGAAGAGCAGTGGTGTATGTAGAGAGGGTGACTATGCGGAAGTTGATTTCATGAATCTTTTATTTTCCACTCCAGTAAAGCTTTGCTCAGACCTAATTGCACATGCACATGCCTGCAGATTTTATCACAGCTACCGCTGGAGCCATTTCTGTCATGACTCCTTGCAGCTGAGCATGCAAATTAAGCTGTAAAATACGTGTAACTTGATGTACAATTTAAACTGCAACATATTTATCAACACATCAGCTCTTTGAAAACATAGGCCTGTTCAGTGTCTTTATGTTGCTACAAAATGACAATCATAAAATAAGAAATCAAGTCATCCACTGATAAACACTCGGATGACTTAAAAAGAAAAAGAGTTTTTTAAACCTCACTAGCTGTGCAGCTTCATGGATATCACATTGAGTTGTTCAGCATAATGTATACAGACATTTATGCCTCAGTCTTATGTCATGGCAGGGAATGAACCCCACTGGCTTTGCTGTGCCTCTAGTGACGCCATGAGGTTGGCTCTTTCAGTGACATTTCCCAACAACCAGTGGATGGATTGCTGTTAAATTTTCTACATACATTCACCCGAGAAGGTTAATTTTAATGGTGTTAATTCTCCTGACTATTTCTATCCAGGTTTTTCACTTCCAGTGTAACATCTTACCATCTATGACATAGCTAGACCATTTTTAATTGTAATTTTTAAAAAAAAATTAATGGTACCTCGTAAATTTTAGTGATTCTCTAACTTTCCCACTGAACATTAACTGGATGGAGCTGTCTTGTCATTGTGAGCATGTTGCCAAGCTAATTTATATTTTCAGCACTGCTGTATGAGCACATAATAACAAAGCAAATATAGTTGATGTAAATTCTTGGTCTTTTTTATCTGTCTAAAAACAAACAGTTAGGTCAGATTAGCTTTGGATTTTGCGCATTGGAACATCTCCTGCTGATGCACATGTGTGGACATATGTTGTATTTACTCATACGCACATAAAGGTTCAGTGGACATCCACACAGACAAAAGCAAGATTACTCGCCTGACAGTGCAAGCTCTTAAGCTGATTTATTAACATAAATGCAAATCTCTGGACTACAAACCGTCATCTGTTTGCATGCTGCATGGTCAAAGTAGGCCACAAACAAACAGACCTTTTCTTTTTTTTCTTTTTAATCTTCAAACAATTCACTGTCGCATCAGTATGTTAAAGACACTTGTGGACACATACAAAAGGACAGCATGAGACATCCATGCTAAGGCTTTTCCTTGCATAGCTGGATTATTATTCCCTCTGACATTCATTCAGTCCCACAAATGTACATAAATGCGCGCACACATACATTTGTGCTTGTGTAGACCATCTGCTGACCATGTTATGTAACAACTCCACGTGCCTTGGGCTCAGGCTGCTCTTCCTGAGCAAAAAGCTCACCATGTCAGGATTGGACAGAATTGTCCCTGCTCTGCATACTTCTTCAGTCTGCTTGGCCTGGAGTCATGTATTATTCAGCCTGACCATGAATAACCTTTGTTGTTGTCATTCAGAGTGCAGATTTCATTTTTTAGGGCTTTCTATCTTAAAGCTAATCTCCTTTTGAAATTAAATCATCAGACTGTCTTTGCTGTTCTGGAACCTTTTCACGTAAGCCCCTTAATATATGAGACCATTATGCTCTTTCCCTTTTAAAGTTGCTCTTCATCTTGAAATCAGTTATTTACTGCACCGACTTTGTTTTTTTCTTTCTACACCTCTCTTTCCTTTTACTTCTTTCTTTCATCTCCTGTTTGCCCTCCACCGTTCTACCTAAATATGGCATTGCAACCAATTTGGTGGAGACAGCAAATGCATCACTTTCGTGTTTCTTGTTCAGCATATGCCCTGAATTATATGCTCCAATCAGCCTCATTCATCACAAAAATGGGGCTTGATGATAATAATGAGTGTCTAAGAACTCTGAACATATGCTGTCCTTTGTGCTTGGCAAAACATTGCTTAGTTGATAAATTTCTGTTGCCGTTGCAAGAGTTTACATCGATCTCGCTCTGCAGGTCAGGTTACCACAGTGACCAGCTAATGCTGACATACAATATTAATATACTGCAGTATAGGGGCACTTCTGAAAAGAGTTGCCATTTATGCTCTCATAAGATAAGTAGTAAAAATAAGTAGAGTGTAATCTATCTGTTCATAGCCTTGCTATTTCACTTATACTAGTATGAAAAATAGAGTTGTGGTAGGTTTTGTAATGATACATACTTGGAATGAGAAAATGGAAAGCACCTGAATGCTCTAAAATATCAAACTTTTAAAAAAAAAGAAAAGGAAAAAGTGGAATAATTTGTACAACTCCATCTTTGCAAAACAGAAAGCAAGCACTTGACACATATTTACCCTCAGATTGTTGAGTACCTTTAACTGTGAGCCTCTTTCAGAGTTGTTTTAGGGTAGCCATCATTGTGTTGGGTGTTGACTGAAGAGTCATTGAAATAAATACTGTTAAATAATATAAATACAAATGTATTAAATTTCAGTAGCCTCCAGCTGCTCTTTGTCTAAAGTGATTAAATATATTTATGGAGCATGCCTTGTTGTACATTTAGAGGATTAAGCATTTTCACCATGACCAGAAACCATATTGGAACAGTAAGAGAGTCAATTGTAGCTTAGCGTTTTTATTTGCCATGGAGACTGACAGACTACCGGCAGCTGTGACTAGACTGAGAGCTTTTTTTTGACATTTAACAGGAATAATAAGAAACATGTTTCTTAGATGTTTGTGTGTTTACTGACCTTTTATCTTTTGACTTACTGACCTTGTGTCTGATATTATAAACTTTCTGGTTTTATAACTTGTGTTCAGGAAGAGCAGCTGTACACCTGGGCATCTGTAGGCTTGCCAGTGTCTCCTTACCTTTGGGAACTCTATGGGGGGGCAACCACAGGCAGGGTACAGAGCTTGAGATCCTCTTTCCATCAATCCTCAGCTAAAACACCAGGTGCTCCACACGTTCAGGTTGGTTAAGTCTTCTCTTTAGTGTTAAATATCTGACAACTGTTTTTCATCCTGCCTGCACAGAAAAGAAAGTGTATGCTCTGAAAACATAAACTTAACATCTTTATTAGATTAAATTCAAATGTCTCCTCTTTACAAAGTCAAAGTGTGTTTCTTGCTGACTGATATATTCACTGCATATGCGTGTGTCTGAAAGGTAACATTTACCCAATATAGCGTTTTTAAAATTGCCATTGTAATATAATTCATGATTATAAACCAAATGCACACGGAAAAAAACTTGAAAATGGTAAAAATCTAGAAGAGACTAAGCTTGATTATAATATTTTGCTGTTCCTTCTTGAATTTCTCTTTTCTGTATTTAACACCTTTGGTAGAAAAAAAAATATACAAGATGTGTTAAACTGCTTTAAAAATGAACAATGGAAAAATTGAATTAATTTCTTTGCTGTGCGAAACAGCAAAGAAATTAATACCAAGGTATAGAAACGCATTTAGTCTATGCCGGACTGACAAACATGGAAAGATATAATTACTGAACTTTGTATCTGATACATATATATTTGACCTGTATTTTAAAACTGTAATATTATTACCCACATGAATTTAGCTGTGAGTTTTTCCTTGGCCACCAGAGGTCAGGCTTGTGTTGAAAGTACTGTGAAACAATCACACGAATCCTCCCTGTTTCCTAGAAAAGTAAAAAAATAAATAAATAAATAGAGGACTATACTGTCTAAATATTCTCCTCAATTCAACAAGGCGACGACAACTGGAGAATGTGTACTATCAGACAAAACCCTCCTCATGTGAGGCCTACTGAGACTCACTGTCTCTGGGGTCAGATCTCTGGTATCCCCTCATCCCTATTCTAACCAATGTGGAGCCAGCGGTCTGACAGAGTCTAGACATGACGGACTTGGTTGACCCTTCTTAAGCTCATAGTTCTGTCACTAAGCTGCCTGAGTTGTGACACTTTTTTTTCTCACTGTTTATGCATTGAATGATAATGTGCATAAGATTTAATAATATATTAATAATATATTATATTTATGCAATTTATTTATGTATGTGTTTATTTGGTTCACTGACAGACAGAATGCAGCAAGTTGAAGTCAGGTCAGTCATCCTCTGAGGATCAAAGCAGTGTCATCCCACTGCTGGAGAGGACCATTGATGACCTGCGGATTAAGATAGCTGTGTTGCAAGGCCAGCAGGCCTCCCTGGCAAAGGGCATCAGGGATAATATGGGAGCTCTGGGCAATGGTCACCACAAGGCCTCACAGATAAAAGAAGGACGACTGGGGAAGATGAGCCAGGAGGTGTCTATCCAGACCTCGCCTGTGGAAGAGGGATTTAAGTTTGATGTGCCTTCAAATGGACGGACTAGCAGCACGCCGTCCTCCATTTCACCCTCCATCGTCAAATCTTCAGAAGGCTTTGCCTGCACGTGCCAGCAGAGGCAGCAGAGCAGCATCCAGTCAGGTCTTCCTCCCCCTACAGTCTCTGGGGTTAT